GCTGACAGGATTTATTCATAAATAATAGAGCAATTTAATAATAACACTAATGCAACCAAATATAGAAGATCAAAGTTCTGCATATAGACAACATTACAACAAAAAAAGATGACCATCAAGGAGGAAAAACGTTATCTTGGATCCATAGAGAATAACAAAATATCTTCAGACGACCTCTTCAAATTTTTAAGAGAATCATTTTAACTACATTTGACAAGACTCATTACTTGCATAGATGTAAATCCCTTGAAGCATGATCAAGTTTAAGGCAAGTCAAAGCGCCAACGAGAGACTACCATATCTTAGTTCACCAGAAGGTCAAACCACCCCAGAGTTTATAACATACGTCAAGCAAAAGCACATGAAACACGTCAAGCAAAAGCACATCACATCTTCATATAAGTACGAAATCATGAGATGCCTCACCCCACTGTAAATAGAAAATATTAAACTAGCAATAAAATTGATAAAGACAGCTTAAAAGAAGTCAAATGCAATCCGGGATAAAACCAAACAACAGTTTCAGATAAAAGCAAGCAAAGCCCTACATCAAATGTCTACAACTAATCCTGCATTTACCGGTTTATACCTTCCCCTCCATTATATGATCTAAAAATCAATTCAATTTCCAATAAAACAACTTTACAATGTGGATAGAATTGCATAATGTACACAGCTGACAACACCCTATCCAGCTAAAGGAAATCAAGTCATGCCATTTATGAACAACAAAACTAAACCCTCATTCAAAGAACACTTTTTTTTTTCAACCCAATTTACTTTCAGAGATCAAGTCAAGACATAGCTGAAAAGCCCATTAATTTCTCCAAAAATTGTCAACAATAAACTCTTCGAAACACCCAAATTTCTACAATTCCATTCGTATCAAAGACCTGTTTCCCAATCACGTCTCTCCAACTTCCACAGAGACAATAGAACGAACATGATTTTATTCATTCAATCTTCCCAGATCCCATTCAACCAACAAAAGCAACAACAGAAAAGCATGAGCACACGATGTGTTTGAGAGAAATTTTGCAGATCTGCATGAAATCAAATCGCAAAGGGAACTTACAGATGAAGATAACGAGGAGGGAAAAGAGCCGCGCACCAAACGAGACAGCAAAGTTCACACGGGACTCGCTTCACAACCAAGTGAATTTAACAATCTTTCTCTACCTATAATTCAACATATCGCACATTGTGGAATAAAAAATTATATTGTTTTTTCTTCTTCAACGCGTTTCAGCGAGAATTTGGTGGGTTGGACGAGACACGCACTTTCCGAGTATGGATTGGAATCTCGAGATCGAGAGAGAACGAAAATGATGGGATGAGAATGTAACAAATAAAAGTACTCTTCATTTCTAATTTATAATTTTTTTTTTCATTATATAAATATTGTATTATTTACTAAAACATGCATCAAGTATAAAATTACATTATTTACTAGAACATGTATCAAGTAATTATTTCCTTGAGTTAACCTTGTTCGTCAAACAATTAATCACATATTTTTTTCTATTATAAATAAATTTTTTAAATGAAAATGTGTATTACATTGAAAACAATTTTGGTAAATTTTAATTCACATGGTTTTGTTTAATATTAATAAAATTACAAAATAAAATTCTAATACATCAATAAATAAAAAGCACGAAATTATATAACATAATAAATACATTTACTAAACATTATACAAAAATTTACAAATAATATATATGTATCACCTATATATACATATATATTTATACATATCATACAAAAATCATACAAAATATATAAATAAAAAATAATAAAAAAAGAAAATCTATATGAAATATATAAACAAAAAAATAAGAAAACGAAGAAGAACAAACCTAGCACAACAACAATAGTGTTGCACGAAATGTAGAGTTGTAATGTGAATTTTCTTTAGTGTGGGCTCAGAGAAGTGGGCGCCACTCCAGCGTAATACTCTCATCTAACTCCGCGTTGGAGATGACTTAGTTCATTACCACTATCACTGACCATATTGTTTCTATTGATCCCACATTCTCTTGGTCTTGACGACTCCTCCCAAAAGATGGTTAATAAAATATGTTCCCGCACTATCAAATAACGATATTGTGTAGAATAAGATGGTTAATAAGATACGTTCCCGCACTATCAAATAACGATATTGTGTAGAAGTTTGTAACAAGCATTAACAAGGCCCCACAGTAACATCATAGGATTGACTCACACAGCCTCTCAGAAACATTTTATTTTTTTTGAAACGATAATTTAAGTAACGCAAATATGTAATTATAACCGACTAACTAGCCAGACAAAAGGAGTTTTGCCCAAGGTAGCCTAAATGCCACAGGCTAGCACAAAAGAATCTAAAAAAACTCACTGGTGGAGAATACAAACTCCAAGAGGGAGAATACAAAGCTACAAAACAGGAGAAGAACAAAACACAAACACACACTTACGCCACAACAAGACGCAAGAACTACAAACCAACTAAAAAATAAACTAAGCTAAAGCCTCCTCCGCATGCATCAAATGACCCCGAATAACCACAAAACTGGCCCAAGGGCAACTTCCCAAAACGGATAAGGACCCGGAACAAAGCTCCGAACCTGAAAATGCAATACTGCTAGGCCCAAATTTTTGAAAAACTCTTTTTTTG